AAAGCAAGTAAATTTGGTTTATACATTTATACTTTAAAGTCCAATGTCAAGTGAAATTAGAAGGCAGGAGACAAATGCAAGATCCTGCCAATTCTGAAAGTCATATTCTCTGGCTAGAACACCATGAGGTGCTTATTACCTTTAAGACCAAACAAAAATGTAATTAAGCACTTGCAGGTCACGATCAGAGAATTCAGATTTATTGGCGAAGATGGATTAATTTAGAAATCAGATTCACGTCAAAATAGTACTAAGATTTTGTACATTGAGTAGCTTTATTATACATGATCTATATATTTACATGCATATTGTGATCAATTTCTGTGAACTTTTTTGGTAGCCCACATCCTATATTTCTTAGTGTCAACACAGCCTGTTCAGCCATCTTGTATTAGGCTTCAAGAATCTCAACAAAGACATGGTTTCAGCAGTTACAGTAGCCAGTTGAGACCGTCCTTGCATTTGCTGCAACGCAACAGACATGCTCCCTGAATTCCCTTGCATCAACTGTCTGGATCAATTACGAAAACAATTAATAATCCAGTTCAATAATGCAAACTCCGATGCAATACCTATTATTCAAATCAGACAAATAACGGTTTTGTTGTACCCTTGTTGATTGGTTGCAGACTTGAGAAGTGCCATCCTATTAGCATCAATAATAGCTGGACTTGTATCTGAGTTCATCGAATGAGGATGTTTCATACGTTCTTCATACATTTTCATAGCCAATACACTTGCAGATGGCTGCCCCATCATTCCTTCAGAATTCATGTTATTCATGGGGCCACCAAGGGAAGGCTGATTAGGATCTCTACGCTGTAACTGGGCATTCCGCTGCTGCATGAGTTGCATCTGTTGCATTTGCAGCTGCTGCTGGTGTTCTCTTGATTTAATTTGTTGCGTCTTTTGTAGAATTCAAAGTGCAACGGAAAAATAAAAGATTAAACGCATTGGACATGTAAAATAAAAAATGTAAATTTAGATCAAAGAAATGACGACTTCCATAGCCCTAAATAGAACTGCAGAAATTTAATACACCTCTATGTAAGCTGCAGCTGACTCAGAATGTTTCTCGTTTGTCCTTGCAATGAAGATGTCCCAAAAGACAGACCACCATTCAAAAAGAAATCCTCCAGGCGCATCAATAGCTACAATAAAAAAAGTTAAAGATATTCTCACTATAATCTATCACACGTGTTTTCTGAAAACCGTGAAGCAGAAGACAGCCCAGTCTGCATATTAGTTGTTCGTATTTATGATTTAACTCATCAAAATTGATAGCATAACAAATACATCACATAAACAGGGAAGCAAAACCCTCACCTACAGGATCTGTAGCAACTTTCCCTTCTGTCATGAAAGCTTTGGCGGAGTTATGCAATTTTCTTTTCAACAAATAGTCGTGAATATAGACATCAAGCCTGTCCAAAAATATCAAAATTAGAAATTTGCATCAGCAGCAGGATCACTTTATCTTACTTTTAATCTCTGTTGTGCTGTCAGGAGAATGTGGCAAACTTAAAATGACAAATTGGCTTGATTTCAACTCATAAGTTTGATATTAAGTCTTATTTAGACGATGGCAACACCACCTATTTTCTGTATTATCTTAGCTGGCAACTCTCTTTTTATTTATTCAACCAATTTTCCTTGTCTTGGTTGGCTAGGGATTGTTGTTTCCACAGTACCTCCACTCCACCTAAAAAAGAAAAACCTATCTTTCTATCTTCCTGCCTTCATTGACATAATTAAAACTATATATAAAATGAATAGGGTGAAAGAGTCTGTTGGTTTCCTTTCTTAATTTATATTATATAAAAATAAATAAAACACGTGAAAAATGAAAAAGAAAAAAGAAAAAAAGTGAATCCGATATAGTATTACAAACTAAACAGTGATAAATTCATACATTTTATCTGCTTCCCAGTTACTCTGCGCCATGGTTTATTACTCCCAACACTCACTCCACAATGTGCTACAGTCAGTCTCAATCACTGCGCTTCCACTGAAATCATGGCCAATTACAAGATAACGAAATTTGATCAGAAAACTGCAAATAAAATAAAAAATAATAATAAGAAGAAGAAGGAATTCACAAAACCCTAAATAACAAAATTCTCGGCACCAAACTTACCACCCGGAGAGATCAAGTCCTGCATTGACTATTCAAGCAAGATCTCCGCATCAAAACCCCTGGTTCAAATTATAAACAGAAAAAACAAGAGAAGTTAGGCAAATTCACAAAATCAAAACAAGATCTTTATCAATAAATTCAATTCCGCAAATTTAGCTTCTATGTTCAGTTTCAATAGTCCACAATTCTTAAACTCTTAGTCAATTATCAAATAAATCTTTTTTAATCTAAAAATTCAAATCGAAATGGAGTACTCCTATCAAAATACATATAGAGGTTGCGATCTTCAGTTCAATCAATCTCTATTCATTCAACGAACATCACAGTACTTGCATTCTTACAGAAATTCAAGTATATATATAACGTATTCTCGCGAATTGTCCAATTTTACCGAAAATTATTCGAGAAAAACTGTGATAGAGCAAAGAAAATGCAAATTAAAGTGAAGTAAATAACTCAACTTGAACACTGAAGAGAGAAGGAAACAGAGCGAGAAAATATCGGCCATGCGAAAGCTAAAACATAGCTGGAAAAGTGGCCAGGTAGGGATCCGAACCTGAGGTGTAGAATCGAGGTATACGTAGTGCGTAGGCTCGCCCTTTGGCTCGTGACCGAATTTAAAGCATATTTTGCTGATATAGGTTCGGATTTGGGTGTCGGAAAGGTCGTGGTGGGGCTCTAGAGTTACAGGTCGTGACACCACTGGCTGAGCTGGACACGTGTTGGATTTTAAATCAATTTCACTGTTCAGGTCACTTTCGAAGAATGTAAACACTAATTTAGGTGACGATTAGATGATATTAAATGATAAATTTGTTTAATTACAAAGTCAAATGATTTATTTAATTGCAGAATGTGTTTGGCCCCATTTTGGGAAAATTTTAATTTTTGGAATAGATTTAAAGCATATTTTGCTGATATAGGTTCGGATTTGGGTGTCGGAAAGGTCGTGGTGGGGCTCTAGAGTTACAGGTCGTGACACCACTGGCTGAGCTGGACACGTGTTGGATTTTAAATCAATTTAACTGTTCAGGTCACTTTCGAAGAATGTAAACACTAATTTAGGTGACGATTAGATGATATTAAGCCCCTGTTTGGCACCCATTCTCTTTCTTATTCTCATTCTCTTTTTTCATTTCAACCACACAATCTCCAAATAAAATAATATTACACACAAATCTAAAACTTTTCATCACTTTTCCACCACACATTCTCCCATCAATCACTATTCCAAAATTTTTCAACCCATTAAAATGGGTGTCAAACAAAAATTTTAATTTTTGGAATAGTGATTGATAGAAGAATGCGTGATTAAAAAAGAAATTTTTTTTCTTGATTTACGTGTAAGATTATTTTAATGAAAAATGTGTGGTTTAAAATGAATACAGTAGAAAAAATCAAAAAATAATGAGAAAAAAAGAGAGAGAATGGGGCTCACATAGTCTGAATTTATTAACCCACTGTTTGACACCCATTTTGTTTGAAAAATAATTTTTGTAATAGTGATTGATTTCCAGATTGTGTGGTTAAAAAGTAAGGAGAATTTTTGGGTTTATGTGTAATATTATTTTATTAATAGAATGTGTGGTTGAAATGAAGAAAGAGAAATAGAATGAGAAAAAAATGGGTGTCAAACAGGGGTTAAACTAGATTTATTTCAAGGTAAGTAATATTGTAAAAGAGTTTAAGCCCTTGTTTGACATCCATTTTTTAAAAAGAATTTGATTTGGAATAGTGATTGATGGAAGAATGTGTGGTTAAAAAGTAAGGAGAATTTTTGGGTTTATGTATAATATTATTTTATTAATACAATGTGTGATTGAAATGAAAAAAGAGAAATAAAATGAGAAATAAATGAGTGTTAAACAAGGGCTAAGTGTGGTCACCTAAACTGATACTCTAACACCACCGGTATTAGATAACATTATTCTTTCCAAAAAAAGAAAAGAAAAAATAGCGTCGGTATAACTAATTAAGTAAAAAGAATGTTAAATCAAATTGGTTTTTATAATTTTGATTCCTGCACTTGTTTAGAGTAAGAGTGCGATTGGTGACATTGGTTAGACAGAGAATCCAACATAATCCCTGCTTGACTTTAAGCGATTTAATTGTCAGAAGTAAATAGTAATTATCAAAACATATTATTGGGTCTCTTTTTTGTTTTTTTAGAAAGTTAGATCTAATCTTTCTATTATTGTAACTCGTTAGGAAAATTGATATAACTTGTTACACTTCCATCTCGAGTCATATGCATTTCATGTTGGACAATCGAAAAATTAAGGTTTTTATAGTTCATATTCATGCATTACAAACACTCATTAAGGAGACTTCGAACACAACAGAAGTGGGATCCCCACGAAAGCCCATAGCTTCATTTGTTACCTTTGTTCGGGAACTTTTCGAAATGAGGCAAATGTCAATCCACGTTGTTACCTTCTCCATGAGCTATTGTCAAAAAAAAAAAAAACTAAAGATAAAGTACCGTTTTAGGCAAAAGAGGTAGGCGACTGTTCGTTGACGTCTATCACGAACGCCAAATAAGGAACACAATTGCAACAGGGTCGATGACCGTCTATAGGTGTCATGAGTAAGGAATAAATCAACAGGTAATTTCAATACATTCCTATAATTTTTCTCCCACGTAGAATGAAGAGAACCATGAATAACAAAATCTACAATTTTTCGAATGATATTCGTATATTCTTTCTTTTGTCCAATATTTTTTCTATTTCGAGGCATAATTGCACAGTAGAGGCAGTCCATCTGTGCCTAATCCATCCAAAAGTGGTAAAGAATTAAACTACATAAACCTTCTGCAATTCATTTTCTTTGACAAAACTATAATACAATACATTTCAACTGTAATCTTGACATAGGACAAGGGGAACCTATCATTTACCTTGATGACAAGTCATCTTGGCCAGATGGATCTGTGTTTCCATTCTCAATTTCAACATTGGCTTCTTCTTTAGTTCCGAAACAGGCTTCAGAAGGAAAGTTGATGCCGGCAAAACCAACCATTACAGCTACAGCTCCAATGTAATCCAAGAGATGGGGTGCATTTCCAGTCACTGAATCCACAATAGCTGCTAAAGGAACCTGAATTGTAAGACCAGCTGTTGCTACAGTGGTGCTTGTAAGGAGAACGGCCTTTGCCCAGAGGTAATCACTCAACACATTATCCAGCAAACCTGAACGTGGAGGTTTGAAATCTAGTTATCAATATTGCATGTGACAACATGTATATAATGTGACCCCTGAAGTTCAAAGGTAACAATTATAATAAACACACAAAAGAAAACAGAAAACACAAGGGAGTATACTCTCCAGTCGTTACTGACAGAAGCTAACAAAGACCAAACTCAATCACAATCCAAGCTTAGTCCTTCCAGCAGCAATTGACAAATAAATATGTAAATTTTAATAATCACAAAATTATTAAGACTCTTACCCGGCTAAACCATTTTGTAGCAGTTTGAAAATATAGACAACCATATGGTAGATGCATGTGAACACATAAAAAAGTTATTTTCTTCTTTTTGTTTAACTGGAATCATGTATTTGAATCAAAATAGAAAAGGCCAAACTTAATTTAAGACCAAAATAAAAGAAAGCGGTGAAGTAAAGCATAATGAAAGAAAAAGGTGAAAGGAAAGGGAAGCAGCATCAAGTGGGAAGTGGAAGCGGTTGCTGATTTTTATTCTGGGTCCTCTGTAATTAGATTAAACAGAGATCATTATACCATTTGATCCAAGTACAAATAGATTAATGCAAAAAAGTAAAAAATAAAATAAAATTCCAGGATAGTTAAATAACCTTTGATGAATGTGAAAACATTACAGTTGTAAAACAAAGATATATTAGATGGGGTCCCCATTGCATAAGACTTGTGTCCCTAAAGACATTGCATATAAGGAAAAATGACTTCAGTTTGTAAAGAGCTGAACACCATCTACAAGGAGATGCAGTTCTTGACAAACAATTTGAAGAATGTTTCCATTATCACACACACTCAGTACAGAAGTAAAAATGGATCTGTTGAATTTTTGGGAGGATATATATGCTTGGGATTGACCACATATCCTTGTTTCTAATGCTTGTCTAAACTCCACAGTTTCAGCTCTTGCAACGGGACTTTCTTCACAATCTCAATGATTAGGAGGCTAATGATCTTGCAGGTTTACTAAATTTGTCAGTCCTATAATCTCGTTTCTATCTGAGACTTTTGACTTCGATTCTGGATAAATTGGATAATTTTCCCCATAAATCATGCTTCTCCAATTAAACTTGTTTTCACATGTATTCTTCTTTTCCTTTGAAGAAAGTCATACGAAAATACAAAACCCTGGGAATGTATAAGAATTTACTTGGTCTTTAGTTCTTAATAAAATTAATGCTAATGATCTGTTACAGAAGAGGAGACCCCGTAAGTCTTCCCCAAATGTTTGTGTTGTGTGCTATGATGACTACCTGTTCTATTTGGATTCAACCTAATGTAACAATCTTTCAATGCAAGTACATTCTTAGTGAGGAGTTTTCCTCATACCAATGGGCTAAGGCTGGATGGATTATTAGATATCTGACAAGGACTGAGAAATATTTTACATTAGTTTATATATGTTTTCTTTCATTTAATATTCGTGATTCCTGGTCTATTCTGTTGTAATTCTTTCTTCTTATTAATAATTTTGTTATGAAAAAGAAACTAAACAAATCATATAGAATGGTTATTAGACCAACGATTGTATATGCGGCTCATATAGAGTGGAACACAAGTTTAATTGATCAAAATGGCTGATGCTGGAGC